GAGAGGAGATGGCTCTTCTAAAATAGCAGTTATGTTGCTTTCTGGCTGCTGCCCAAATTTAAGATGCACAAGTTGTTTTCACTTCATAAAGCTTTATTGCTCATAAATCAGAGCAGCATTATGCCACAAACCCTCAGCACAAGAAGTTGTCTCATAACTTGAAGAAATTATGCCATCTGCTTGAATCAGCAATCAGATTTATCTAAATTTCTCTTTAAAGTTTTCTTTAAACAACTTTTCTTTCTTTTGCTCTTGCACAAGAATTACTGGCAAATTAAAAGATTTTCAACAGTGCAAAACTGCATCTTGTATTGGCATGCATGGGGCTAAAGTATCATGCTCAGTAAAGACGTCTATTAATGGCCTACCTTTTCTTTTCCATGTTTAAGCAGAGGCTGTTTAAGGAATTGTTTAACAACTTTTCTAAGGAGGACTTAGCTCTTTGGCTTTTTTGTCCAACAAAAGATAACTATTTCTTGATAGCAAACTTGAGTTCTGAAAGCACCAAACTGCACTGTGAGTAGTTCTCATGTTCCTGTATTCCTGTTCCTGTTCTGTATGGGCCTGTGTCTTCATGGTTCAGCTATTAGCCCTATTCTGTGGAGGAACATTCCTACATATTTCTCTCCACTACCCTTATAAACATGGCACTGTCATCTGGGCAAGAGAAACACTCACTTGAAAGGGGAATAATAGGGTGGCACACCTGCTTACTCTCTGGGCTTTGTCTCTCCTCAGATACTCAGCCACCGGGTGTTTTCTGTGGTGGAACCTCCTTCAAGAAACTCCAGTCAAAATGAACCATGGAGAAGGCTCAAGAGAGGTCCAAGCTAGGATGATGCGGCAGATCCTCCTTGCTGACTAAGAACATGCCTTGATACCAGGCAGAAGACAGATCCTATCTGCGGGGTTGCTACCACTTCTCCTTAGCAAGATACTAAAGTTCTCTCTGGTTGATAATTATGGGTGCATTGACTGACCAGTAGGGATGTAAAAAGTCATTTAAAAATGTAACCATGTAACTCCTAATAATCCTAGTGGTTGCACGTGCTGCAGTATAAAGCTTAAAAAAGCTTTACACTGCACAGCCCACAGTGAAGCTTCCCCAGGAGTGAGGCTGAAAGGCCCTGATGGCTTTGCTCCTGGGAAGGCTACACACTGCTGCAGCATGTGGGCCTGTGTAACCTGTTGTGGGGAGCTGGGCCATGCCTGCCATGGACATGGGTGCTCTGGCCAGCCAGCTGGGGCAGCCACTGCCTGTGGTGGGCCCTGTAGGGCTGGAGCATCCCCTGAGCGGAAAACTCCTTCAGCCCCCATTATTTGACTGGAACTAGTAAGCCTCAGCTATTAAGGATGAGACTTACTGGTTAACCATTTACATCCCTACTGACCAGCATGACTAAGTACAGGCAGTCCCCGAGTTACGTGGATCCGACTTATGTCGGATCCGTACTTACGAACGGGGCTTTTCTCGCCCCGGAGGACGCGGGCGGCGGGACCGCCCAGACGCCCCGCAGTCCTGCC